ACACAACACCACACACACGTGCACGCGTGAGCACTTGGATTGAGCCGCTGAAAAGCGAGTCAACGAAAGAGCAAAATAACAAAGCACCCATTCCCATCACACACACACACACACACACACACACACACACACACACACACACACACACACACACACACACACACATGAACAACAGCAGAACAAGAGGGTGCCCTGACGTCGAGTTGGCGGACGTGTTCGCGCTTGATTTCGCGCGGTTTGATGAGCCCGTCCTCGCCCCGCAGGTGCTCTGCCAGCTCTCGAAGCCGCTCCTCAAAGTCGTACGGCTTTGGCCGCGTGCTGCCGGGTGATGTGGATGTGATGTGATGTGGTGTGAGTTGAGGCATTGATGGAGAAACATGTACCGGTGAGCTTGCTTGTGATCCATGATAACAATGCACGCAATGCAATGACATGATACCAATGACGACAAATGCACAGCGCACGACACATGCACAACACGCATGTACACATGCACATGTACACCTGTACACATGTACAAATGGACTCACAGGCCGCGGATGCGTTTGCGCCACACGAGTGCCATGATGACGAAGATCAACAGCGCAAGACCGGCTGAACACACGCGCAAGACACGAACAAATGCAGTGGTTAGAACGGGACAACATCAAGCAATCAACAGCAAAGCGACACATGAAACAGCACACCGATTCTCAACTCCCATTTCATCCCCCCCAACACAACAAAACAAAACAAACAAAGCAAAACAAAACAAAACGAAGAGCGACCTACCGACGGCGCCGCCCACGACCGCTGCGCCCGTGCTGGCGTTGCTGCCGGGACCAGAGGCGTTGCTGGAGCCCACGATGCGCAGCAGGAACGAGCACTCTGCACTGTTGTCGTACGGATCAACAGCCTGTATGTCGAGTGTGTGTGTGTTGCGTGTTGTGTGTGTGTGTGTGTGTGTGTGTGTGTGTGTGTGAGGGATGGAGATGTACAGGTGTGGTGAACCACGAGCATGAAGCAGCAGGCGAGGACATGAATGTACAAGCGTGTGATGAACAGCAGCCGAGTCGACACAACGCAAGCAAGATCCAATGATTTCACAGCAACCACAAGCGCACCCGCATGTTGATGGTGTATTCGCCAGGAAAGTACGTGTCGTTGAGGCCAGAGATGATGGTGACGTTGTCCGAGTTGTCTGTCGCTGTTGCCATCAGCTGCATGCGGTCGATGGTGGCATAGTCGATACCGTCGTCCGTGTTGATGGTCTGGTCCTGTGGACAGTAGATTACCGGTGGCTCCACGTCAAGCCCAATCACCGACAGGAACGCGGTGCCCGTGTTGTCGTTGGCGTAGTCGCCGAGGCGCGACAGGCCCGCCCATCCGCTCACGGGCTGGAACTCAATCAGCGACAGCAGATCGATGGACGGCGTTGAGCTGAACGTGGACGTTGATGTCGACGTTGATGTCGACGTTGAGGTGGATGTTGATGTGGACGTGGATGTTGATGTGGACGTGGATGTTGATGTGGAGGTGGAGGTGGAGGTGGAAGTGCTTGGGCTTAGACCGTTTGGCGATGACGATGTTGTTGCACCGACAGGCGGCCAGGAGGTCGTGGTGCCGGCTCCTGCAGACGGTGTAGTTGTTGTAGCAGTCGTAGTAGTTGTTGTTGACCACGCTGTGGACGGGGTGAAGGGTGTTGGTTCCAGCCCAACATCTGGCCGCAGTCCTGGCATGGAGTACTCAAAGGTGACACCCGTGAACAGCATGCCATCCTTGTACGAGGGCAGCGTCGCCGACCCGCGCAGCGTGATGGTGCTGGAGGAGAAGTGCGTGCCTTCGTCCTGGAACCACGTGGGCGCAATGTCGATGGGCTCGTTTGTCGCCAGGTTGCGCGCGTCCTCAAACGACACGCGCAGGAACGAGTCGGATACAACGGCGTTGAGAGCGTTGATGACCTCGGACGAGAAGGGCGCGTCTGTCGTCTCAATGGGTCCCGCTGTCCCCGGCGGTATGGACGTGGTTGACGATGTGGTCGACGCGACATACACGCGGGTGAAGAGAGCAAACATCTCCAGCGTGACGGGGTCGCTGCTCGGGTTGACGCGGAACTGATAGCGGTCCTGGGCCGTCAGCGTGAAGCGCAGGCGGTTGCTGTCGAGCTTGAAGTTTGGAAACGTCGTGCCAACGCCACCAGCCAACAGTGACGTAAAAGTGATCTTGCTCTGGTACTCGTGCTGGCGCGTGCTCTCGTCGAACACCTGGCCCTGGTTCACGATGGTTGTTCGCTCGGTCGTGCGCCAATATGGGTACTCAAGCTCGACGTCAAACGAGCACGTCTCGCGGTTGTCCTCTGCATCCGCCGCCGTGTATGTGACGGTGACCGGTGAGTCACGCAGAAACAGCTTGTCGCCCGTGGCGTGCGATCCCTCCAGGCTGACCACGCCCACATTGTCCTCGGCAAACGGGTCTGTCCAGTACACGGACGCGGCCGACTCGTACTCTGCCAGCGACTGCGTGACGTCACTGGGGCAGTACGCAAACACGGGCGGCTGCGTGTCGACAGCTGTCACCACCGAGCGATCCGTGTTGTTGTAGCGTGCACCTGCCGGGTTGCATTGGCGGTGATGTTTGGATGCGTGGTGTGTTGTGTTGTGTCGTGGTGTGTTGGGTTGTGTTGGGGGAGAGTGAGTGTGTGCGTGCGTGTGCGCGTGTGTGTTGGGTGATTATTTGTGAGTGTGAGTGTGTGTGAAATTGTGTGTGCGTGCTTGTATGCCCTTGCAGTGACACACGGCGTGGGTGTGCCAACAAAGTCCTTCAGCAATACAGGTTAGCGCGCTGTTTGCACATAACCACGAACGCACCGACGTCACGGAACCAAATCCCAGAGTTGCTGTTTGGATAGTAGATGCCCTTGTTGTTTGGGGCAGTGGTGGCAAAGGACAGCTCAATCAACAGGCCCGAAAAGCCGGTCTGGCCAGCGGCCTGTATGTGTTGATCGACACGTGAGAAGCAGACGTATGTGTGAGCGTGTGTGTATGCGTATGCGTATGCGTGTTGTTGTTGTTGTTGTTGTTGTTGTTGTTGTTGTTGTTGTTGTTGTTGTTGTTGTTGTTGTTGTTGTTGTTGTTGTTGTTGTTGTGCGGTTGTACACACACGACCAAAAGAAGAGGCAAAAAAAAAGCCAGACAGAAAGGGCAGCGACATGCGAATAGCGAACGCACAAACAACAACACGACTAAATATAAACCACTTTCACTACCATCGCCACGAATTGCTGTGCCACAAGATTCATGATGGAACAGCAAACAATACCACCATGACGCACCAGTCCTGCGAGGAAGTTGGCCTCAAAGCAGTTATCGTTGAAGGAGACGGACGTGGATGCCTGCGGGAACTGGTCAATGTCAAGCAAGCCCACGCGGTCGAGAGCGCTTGATGGGCCAGACATGGTTGGATACACGGAGGAGTGGCAGTAGCTGAGGTGCCCGACGAACGTGATGCTGCGCGGATCAGACACCCCGGTGTCGATGGTGAAGTCGGCGCCGCCCTCTGGCACGATGTAGAAGGCGAATTCCGGCAACTGCAGGTCAATGGTCTCCACGAGTGTGCCGCCGAGAAGAGCAGAATCCGACAGGATATAATCACGAATCTCCTGCGCGTCTCTGTCGCGCACAAAACCAATCTCAGACACTGTTTGCCTGTGTGGCGGTGGGGTTGGTTGTGTGTGTGTGTGTGTGTGTGTGTGTGTGTGTGTGTGTGTGTGTGTGTGAGTGTGTGTGTGTGTGTGTGCGTGTGTGTGTGTGTG